CTCCTCAAGGCAAACAGAAGCTTATCCGTTCAGGACGGCCCTGTCAGATACATCTGCCCTGTTCCACCTCCCTCCTCTCACCTTTTCTGTCTGTCCTGCCGAGAGGCTGGTGGCTGCCCAGAACCATCTGTCCCTCCAGAAATCTGCCTGCTTCTTGGTTCCAGGTCAAGTGGCTGCTTGCCTACCATGTCTGTCACTTCTAACACAGAAACAGGTAGCCCTTCTGGGGTTCCCAAACCTAATAGCTGAAGAGGTGATAAGTTCTATGCCTGTGTGGAGGCTACAGCAGATCCAGCAAGGAAAGGGGAGCTGCTCTCTAAGGCTCTTCTCTCATCCAGGGAGCTCCCTCCCCCTTTCCTTCAGTGTGGGCTCCAAGGCCACCTTATCAGTCGGCCTCTCCCGGCCACATACACAAGACAGCCATCAAGTCCCCAGCCTCCACCTCCCTATCCCATGTCCCACTCTATTCTTTCCAGGGAACTCAGATGCCCTGACTTGCTCTACATTGACTTGTTTGTTCAATCTCCCCGGCACACACAACCCATGGGCACAGGGGATAAGCTCCCCGTAGGCAGGGACCATTGTGTCCCGCCGTTTATGGGTCAATTGCTGCATGGATGGAAGAAAGGAAGAGCCATGGAAAATGTGCTACAATAGGCAAAGGGGGCCAGATGCGGGAGAGAGGAGGGCTGGCACGAGGACTGCTTTAGCGAAGGGGATCAGGAAACACGTGATTAATGTGGAAGCAACACCCCATGCCTGTTGAGGAGCTGCGGCAGCAGCGGAGCAAGCTGGCCATCTCGGGAAAGAGGGATGAGAAGACCACCAGGTCCTGTCAGTGCCAAAACACTGCCCTGGGACTCCCGGCCCAGTCCTATTGGGCTCAGAAGCAGCAGAGACAACCACGTGAGGAAACTCACTCAAAACCAAAGCCATGGCAGCATGGGGCTGGATCTGGGTAAAGAGCCAGATGCGATGGCTCGAGCTCTGCTAGCCAGCCTGGTCCACTCCCTAAAGATGATGACTCTGCAAGCCGGAAGGTGCGCAGGGCCTGGTGACTTCATGAGGCCCCAGGAATGCCTCCCTCAAGACCTCATTTAGATGAGACAACACCCTAAGCTCATTGAAGCCGGCACTCAAACTCCAGGCACCCAAACTCCTGGAGTACTCCATGGGTTACCCATGTTACAGTCTGTCAAACCTGGTGGAGTAAAGAAAGGAAGGCTCACCAAAGGTAAGTCGTCAGGGCCGGCCAGATAGCTCAGTAGACCAAAGCACCTGCTTAGGCAGAGCACAGCTGTCAGATTCAATCCCCAGCATGCCATGTCGGCCTGCCCCCGGGGCATGCAGAGACAGCAATTGACACTGGGCATGGTGGTGCCCGCCTATAATTCGAGCACTTGAGAGGTTGAAAAACAGGAGAATCACTAGGAGTCTGATGTACATAGTAAGACACTGAACAGTCCGTAGACTCTGTACCAAATACATTAAAAAAAGAGGTAATGGGCCAGGGGTTCAATCCCCAGGCCAGCTGTGCCAGCCGGCCCCTGGGGCACGCTGAGATAGCAATTGAGACTAGGCATGGTGGTGCATGCCTATAATCCCAGCTCTTGGGAGACTGTAAACAGGCAGATCACTATGAGTCCGATCTAGTAGTGAGACCCTGTACACCCTGTAGGCCCTTCCCTAAAATACAGAAAAAAAAAATTTTTAATTAAAAAAAAAAACGAAGTAAGTCCTGACCCCTTCCTCCAAGTGTGGGGGTCCCCTTGCCAGAAGGGGATCACAGCAACAGTTTGTGAGAAGGGGCAGCCTGCCCCAGAGCTTGGGGACCACAGGCTGGGCCAGGAGGCTGAAGTCAGCTGCCAGGGGCCTTAGAGGAAGGGATGATTGGCCCTTATTTTATATGGGAGAAGAGCTCCTTAAAGAGGAAATGCAGCACACAAGGGAAAACCCTGGCCCAACCCTGGCAAGCCACAACCAGATAGCAGCTCCTCAGGGAGCTCTGCAATTTCCTCACTTCCTCAATTTCAAGAGCTGTGTGCTCTTGAAGATCACTTCCGGGTCAGATGCAACCTGGTGACAATATCTAGCTTCCTTCCTCCCTCCTCACCAATACTAAAGAAATCACCATCTGTATAAAAGCCTCCTGCATATGGAAGGCATGCTGTGAGGCGCTGGGGACATAGGATTCAAAAGACATCAGGGTCCATGCCCTTAAGGATTCACTGTCTAGCAAGGAAGACCATTAATTAATTCAGCACTTACATAAATAGTATTGTGATGTTACCAAGGAAAAAGACTTGGACCTATTAGAGCCCTGAAATTTTACAAAGGAAAGAACATTTCCACTGAGATCTGAAAGCTGGACTGGAGGTGAGGTCTTCCAGGCAGATGGACAGGTGTGTGGAGCAGTTTGTGGGCGACGCATTCAAATCCCAGGAAGAATTAAACCACACATGAGTGAAGCAAGTCCCTTAGAACCATTTGTTTAAAGAAAAAAAGGGGCACCTTTCATCAGAAGGTGGTCATATACTATGAGCCCAAAAGCCAAGGAAGCAATACAACTGAGGACTGCTAAGCTCCCCCTCCCCAATGCCAGCTGGTGGAAGCCCCCAAACCTCACCCCATGCCACAGCAGACGAGGCGGCACTTCCTTGAGACCCCTGCAGTTGCCAGCATGACCTAAGTGGGGCCATGGCTGTCAGGGCTGCAAGGGGCGAGGGGGCCAGAACTAGAAACGCATATTCCAAGACAGAAGCCCAGTCCTGAGGCTGGATCTATCCTGGGGTCAATATTTCTGGTGCCAACTAGTGCCAAGCATCATACATATGAAGTATGACTGAAAAATACGACGATACTTTTTATACGTTTTTAATTTTTTAAAATTTATTACAAGTGCCTTTAATTACACTGTTGTGGCTACCTTGATGTCCTGAATCAATTCAAAACACTAACCATTCATGGTCATTTTGACACTGGGGAGAAGGCAGAAGTCACACGGTGCCAGACTTGGTCAGTAAGGTGAATGAGGACAGGCTTATGTTTTCACAAGCCTGCCTTTCTGTTGGATGGCACTTGACCATGCTTTTGATCATACTTCATAGAAACATCCACAAGATCAGATTTCCAGAGCAGCATCAGAAAGTGGCAATAACCACGGGGTATGTTCCAAGTGAAAGGCAGTATTTTAAGGGAAATTCACAGCAGTGTGTCTCTTACTGTAATGACTAAATTTAAACATTCACTGTGTATTTCAATCACACCTCACAGGGTCGGTAAGGCATGAGAGTCCCAAGACAGAAGAGGCACTGCTGTGGGGTTTCCTAAACAGAAGATGGTGTATGAAGATGGGAAAGACCTGGAACAAGGAGAAATTCCCAACAGCAGGTGCCTGCACGGGCAGCAAGAGCCTCTGGAACTCAGAAGAGAATGCAGAGGTCTGGCAATGGTGTGAAGCAGGCCCAGGCTGCTCCCTCACACTCGGTAGGTGGAGAGGATAATGCTGGTCTTCGGGATGGGTTGGGAAACCTCGACAAACCCCCGATCTGCCCAGCCTGGCCCTACAACTAAGAGCCCTGGACCCTCATCTTGACCAGTACCATGTTTCTCAGCTGTTCCTAAGAATCACCCGACACAAGCTGCTCTATCTCCAGAGACTCCACTTAGGTAAACAGGGATGGGCTCCAAGCCCACACTCAGCAGGAATCAAAAGCTCCTCTAGCCAGCAGCTCCAGGAGCCAGATTCTTGGCCTCCTGAAGGAGGAGGTCCTGGACCAGTTGTCCCCTTTGGTCACAGTGGGTGTCTTGGTGGACTCACTGGTCCTGCACAGGGGACAGATCTTCCACACTATGGAGAGAACAGAAATGGTGCGCTATGGGGAGATTGAGCATGGACTGGCCCCAGTGTCTAGGAACATGGGGAGGGGGTAGTTACAACTGAGTAGAAGCTAAGGGCCCAAGAAGGAAGAGGGAACATGCTAGGCAAAGAGCACAGCTTGTGTAAAGGAGCAATCAACATAGTTAAGCAAAAAGTGCATAGAGTAGAGGTAAAGCCAGAAAAGGTCAAGTCCAGCAAGAAATCAAGACTTAAAACCAGGCAAGAAGGAGCTGCCATAGACCCCTAACCCTGCGGGGTCCTGGGTGAACTGAGATCGGATACAATCTCCCCTCACTGCCCTTCACATGCCAATATCAGTCTCCATCCACGAAGGTCACCTACTCCTACCCAAAAGCAGATTCAGACCCTTTCTGCACAACTATCATGTCAACACAACACAAGAAGACTGTGAAGGAACCCAATCCAGAAAGCAGATGAGTGGCTGTGAGAGGCGGGAGCTGCAGCCCAAGCAGGTGGTCCAGCCTGAGACAAGGCGGCTAAATGTGCCCTCCCCAGGTCACATCAGCACCTCGTACACCTCGTAGGGCTTCCCCTTCTTCACTAGTAAGAACCTGTGGCTTCTCTAGGTGGATTCAGGACCCCTAAGGGTATGGGAGAAAGGGCCATAGAGACAGAAACACAAGATGGTCCCCAGTGGGCTGGACCAGATTTGACCCAAGCATTACTTAGTGATGACAGGCCCCTGGATGCCTCCCAGGGGCCTCGCCAAGATCCTAACTTTGCTCAAATGGCCACTGGTGCCTTCAAGCGACCAGTTCCATCCTCACCAAAGAACACAAAAAGAAGTGCATACTGGAGGCAAAGCTGAACTCTGCAAGCTTGTAAACTAGGGGCATGCTGATTCTCCAGGGGGCAGCACAGAACAGGAGGGTAGGGGAGCAAAAGGGGGAGGGAAAGCCTCAGCTGGGAGATGTCCTGCTGGCGGACACACCCCCAGGCCAGGCCTCCAGCACGCTGTGAACCCACTGAGCCTGAGGACAGCGCCAGGCCCCAGGCATTAGAACTAGGCAGAGCAGGGCAGGCCCCAGCCACCGGCAGCCAGGAGCGGCGCGCAACGAAGCCCGGGATGGTATGCGTGCCCCGGCTGAGGCCCGCTCACCTTGCACTTGAAGCCCGCGGCAGGCGGCAGGAGCTCCCGCAGCAGTGCCTTGGCCACCTCGCGGCTGGCCTCTTCGCTCACGAAGTGCAGGTTTAGCACCTCGTGCGCCTCGAACTTGGCGAGGCGCAGCAGCGAGCGCAGCGCGACGCGGGCCTTGGCCTGCAGCGCGGCGTTGTGCTCTGCCTTGGTGAACATCATCAGCAGGTGATAGTCCACCGGCCCGGGCACGCCGCCCTCCAGGCTCTTGGCCTTGGCTCCCGGGGCCGGGGCTACGGACCCCCGCGCCAGCTCCAGAGCGGGAGGCGAGGGCGCGGCGGGGACCCCGGCGCGGGCCTCCTTCAGCCTCTTGGTGGCGCTGGAGAAGGTCTCGCGGCCCGAGCCCAGGTAGTAGAAGGCACAGACCGCGAGCGCCGCGGCGAGCAGCAGCGCGCAGTGGTGGGAGCGCACGGCGCCCAGGCGTGCCATGGCCCGGGCGCACGGGGGCGCGCCCCGCAGAAAGCCCATGCGCCGCGCCCGCAGCCGAGGGGATCAGAGCCCAGGGGCGCCCGCCCGCACTCAGGCCCGGGGCTGGCGGCGGCCATGGCGGGGGCGGAGCCGCGAGGCGGAGAGCCAATCGCGGGCGCCGGTGAGCCAGCACGAGCCCCGCCGCCGCCGCCGGGTCCTAAATGCACAAGGATTAGCAGCCCCAAAGGCCCGCTCCACCAGCTGGCTGGCTGGCAGGGGAGCTCTGCTCCTAACCTGCCTAGCCAGCTGCTGGACAGCGAAGCTGAGCCATTAAGAAACAGGATAATCAACGCAACTGATCTTTGGTTAGCACAAAGAAACTCTAGATGCAAGTAAAGGGAGTAATCTTATCTCTGTACATTCCCCCACCCACAATATTTGGAGGTTCTGTGGCCTCTCCCCATCTGGTTTCAACTCTTGGAAACTAGCTAGGGCGGGAAATTTAAACTAGCAAGTTCTCCTTTAACGCTGATGTAGGATTACACCCCCTCCACCTTTAGCACTCTGGGACAAAACAGAGGAAATCTAATGGTGTGGTCAGCAGGGGGACCCCGCTGCTCATTGTGTGCATTTCAGAGAGCACCTCAGTAGTAGCTTCCAAGATTGTGCTACCAACAGACCGAAATACATTATAAGTAGCCTAATATGTCCCAAGGAGTTTAGCAAATTTTTAGCTAACTTTTAGCACCAAGCCCCAGGGCAGTTACAACCCATCCCTCCACTCCTCACCCCCACCCTCGCACTGGGGATTCAACCCTCAGCCTCACATTTGCTAAGTGAGCCCTCTACTTCTGAGCTACATCCTAACCCATTCCTGGGGCAACACTCCTGAAAAACACTGGACCTCTGAAACGGATCTGGCAACCAGTTTCACACATGGGGGAGGGGGGTATAATTATCGCGTTGGGTCGTCATTTAATCCTCACCATTTTGAGGTAAGAGTATTTACCATCAAGGAAACTGAGGTTTACAGATCTAAATCTAGGTGTCTGTAAGTAATGCTGCCAGGATCCCAACCCGTCTTACTGCTTTCCAAAGCCCAAACTTATGTTAGCAAAGATGAATGTCATTCAGGATCCAGGTTATATTTTATTACAGCTTCAAACACAGGTTAAGAAAGCAAGCTTCAGCTCCAACACCACAAGCTGTTAAGACTTCAAGCAAAAAAAGTACTGTACCTAATCACTCTGAACTACAATTAGCACCCCATGTGAAGTGGGGCTGAAACTGAAAGTGATTTTTTTTTTTTTTTTTTGGTAGTTTAGGACAGGGTCTACAGGTCCACAGGGTCTCACTACATAGATCAAACTCCTAGTGATCCACCTGTGTTCAGCTTTCCAAGAGCTGGGATTACAGGTACGCAATACCACAATTGCTGTCTCAGCGCACCTGGGGGCAGGCCCGAGTTCATTTTAATCTGCTTTCTTGATTGATCTCTAGCAGGATCAATTTAAACTGCTTAGAAAGGTATACAGTCTTTGTTTGTTTGGTTTTTGAGGAGAGAACTATGGATTGAACCCAGGCTCTCACACATGCTTGGCCAGGATTGAACCCAGGCTCTCACACATGCTAAGCAAGCACTCTAACAATGAGCAACATCTCCAGCCCTTTTGGACTTGTTTTGCCACAGGGTCTCATTCAAACTTACAACCCTCCTTCCTCATCCTCCCAAGTAGCTAGAATTACAGGCATGTTATATAGAACTTTCAATATAGAACAAATGTCTACAGTGTTGTTCACAAGAAAGTAGAAGTCTGAGCATAAAAAAATGCCAGAAGTAAGATTTTTATTGACTTATTATTGTAATTTTTCAGCATACAAATTACTTAATCAAGTGTAGTATTTACAATTCTTACATAATATACATTTTAGAATAGCTATAACAATGTATGTACTTTGTTCCATTTACAATGATACACTAGAGGAAAACTATCTTCATGAATTAAATACAAACCTTCTACATACTAACAAAAAGTAAATGGAGTGTTGGTTATACATTCTTTAAAATATATTTTTCACAGGTAGCAAGAAATAGTACATGTAATAAGTCTTTATGACTGGAATGATCCAGAAATATCACAAAGCACAAGTAAACACACAGAAAAGTAGCTCATCATTTCCAAAAGTTAACTTTCAGCGTTTGTATAAAATAAATCTTTATAATGTAGCAAGCTTTCCCTGTTTAAGATTAACACGAAAATAAGGATTTAGGGGAGAGTGACACAAAGTAAAATCTAGAAGACCAATGCAGAGAAAGATGCATTCAATCAAATCTTGCTTTATCCCCAGATTATCCAATTTTTGGTGGATAAAATTCATCTAAACAGAAAATGATGTCCATAAAACCTTCGTTATACATGTTAGGATTCAACAAAACTAAATCCAAGCTTCTTTTACCTCTTTCATTTGAAAGCATCAAGAAATCAGTAAGTGCTGAATTAAAATTACCTTTATAATGTTTTGCTTTCATACATGTTTGCTGTTACAAAAATGTGTATTTTCCTACAATTTGATGTCTTCAAATCCCATCTATTCCTTAAAAATTTGAATCAAGGCCCTCCACAATATTTGGCGTCTTCGTTATGAAACGCAAGGAAAGCTGGCAGTCATTATTAGATCTTGCTGTTTTACAATGATCTCTAAACATTTCATGATACAAATAAAGTGCCTCTGACTTGTAGTCAGTCAGACCTGGGTTATGGTTATGGTGTCAGCTCTGCCACCAACTGAGAGGACCACCTCTATAAAACAAGGGGCACGCACTAGGATCAAAAAGCAAAGCTCTTGAAGCTCTCAGATTAAGATCTCAGAAGCCCTACTGTCAGAATCAGGTGAGATAAACTAATGTCCAAGTACACTATAAACAGCAAAACACACACAGATGTTTTTATATTTTCATCTTGTTTCATCCACTCATTTCATCTGTGAGAAGCCCTCAATCAACAAGGATAGTGACTACTACTCCAGTGCTCTTTCTACAACAGCACACAGTTCTGAAGCCATTCAGGACATAATTTCTATAAAAAATATATCATCTTTCCAGCTCACATCAAAAATGCTATCACACAGAAGATTTAACTTGACAGTATGTGATCTAGGAATGTCAGTTATTTGAAATGGGTAGCATATGTAGTCTTAAACACAATTCAGTTTATTGTGACCACATCTCACATGCATAAAATTACATCTTTAAAATACTACTAACATTGCCACAAACTTAAAAGCTTCCAGACTGTTGAAAAAAAGTCTACCTTTTTTCCCCCTAAAATGCACTTATAAAAAACTAAAGTACATGTTACAAATTAAGTCTGTATGTTTGGGAAGGTAAATTTCAAAGTTCATGAAAACCTACAGTAAGACCAGTATGAATTAGGCACACTGTTATACAGTTAAGTCCATGGAAATTTCTGGATTTCTAAGGACACTAATGTTTTTAAGCCATAGAAACCTAACACACCAAATGTTACAACGAAGTATTGCAAACACTGCTCAATTACCTCTAGTCTAATTCTAAAATAAAACTTACATTTTATAAACCCTTCATAGTGCTACTATTCTTATTTTGGAAATTCTCCAATTTTCAAGTTAATGCACTAAGGATAATGAGCTAACAGAATAATGATAAAGAATCAGAAACTAATATTATCAAATCAGTTATGGGAAGAAAATAAAGGGCAATCACACAGACTAAGAAGCCTAAGAGTAAGATTAACATGGTTTATACTATAATTTCTCCTACCCAGATTTGTTACATACTATATAAAAGCTACTAGCTGACATAGTGAAATTCATCTAAGAGCCAACCTAACTTGTAACTATTAAAGTCTTGTGGTTTACTCCATCATTTCTGTCAAATTTAACTAAGATGGAATCTCAAGCACATTTATGAAATAAAGCCATACGTTTGTATTTCTGTCCTGCAGTCTTCCTGCAACATTAAAGATATGGCTTTCTCCAAAGATACTCAATTCAAAACCATGGCCACCTGTAGAGCACTTCAAGTACATCTCAGACCTTTAAATAGACACTACCGCCATGTTAACAACTCATGACTCAAACTAAGGAGGTAAGGATGGCCAAAGGACTTTCCTCTTAACCTGGTCCCTGGTGCTTTTCCTCAAGCACCAGGGACCAGGTTCAAAAGGAAACTTAATAAAGGTCAGGAGCTTCAGGAGTGACACCTAGGATTAAAACAAGAGCAGACACTATGTACAGAAGTAAGGCCTTCTTTTCTCTGTCTGCCTTCCTTTATGTTCAGTACATTTGTCTTCCTTGAGATCACTGAGATCTAAAGGGCAATTAATTACAAAGTCCAAGTCAGGCTTCTCCCTTTAAATGAAGTATCTATAACCCAATGATCTGTGACTCTAAAAACAGGAAAGTTTTAATGTTTCTGTTATGTTGTCATAAAACATAATGCTGTGCAGGTGTTTCCTTAGATATAACTTACATTTTTATCCTTATCTAATGTATAGTGATTATTACTAAATAAGCATTACATGTTTGCGATTTGACCAAATTATGGAACCTTTTCTATGATATGAATTTATTTCAGTGTAATTCCTGCTTAGATTCTGATTTGATGTTTAATCAACTTAAAAGGTTCTACTTATTAGGGACAAATGTTACAAAAATTTATTATCTAATTAAGTATAGTATCTCTTCTAGAAGTGTAAAACTTTTTCTTTAGAAACTGAGTACCAATAACATTACCGGCATAATTTCTCAAAGAAGATTAAACTCAAATTTTCACAACACTGAAAAGGAACCATAAGGCCAATTACTTGACATGTCAAAAATGTTATCAGACTATCTTGTAGTATATAAATGGTAAATACGTGCATTCATAGTATCTTGGAACTTAAGGGTCTGTAATTCACATCACCAAATTCTAAAACTATACTCATGATATTATTAAAAGAATGTATACTGTATACACTACAAAGAACGGATGTAGAAAAAAGCAAGAGGAACTTATTGCTGTATATTTTAATAAGAAAAACAAGCTTTCTTTTTTGTTAGGCAAATAGATTTTTCTTTCACCAGGAGCAAAAGGAAACAGTATCTTAAAAATAACAAGTTGCAAATATAAAAAAGGCCTACAAAATTTAATAAATCAACTTTTCTTTTGGAATTTACATTTTGGTTGAAGTATAATTTTCCAACATTCAAGTAATCTTTGCAACACAGTTTTATTACACTGATAATTTGTTAAGTTTTTATGAAATAAACCCAACAATGAAGAGCTCCAAGTTTTGCTTTGGGATCATTTTAGTGGGTTTAAAAAAAAAAAAAGGAATTAAAAGCTTCTTTTCTTCATAAGATGGAATAACTGAAGGACTGAACTACTATCTCCTTGTATAGCCACTACATGGCTGTTAAGTGCTGGTCAGTAATCTACTATCTCTAAGGAGAATAAAGGTATTTCTAAACAAATGGGGCTATATGCTTTATTTCTAGTAATTAAATTATATAGTGTGTACATGATAGTTAGGCTACCCAGAAAAATATATATATACCTATTTCTGAATCACTGAAAATCATCACAGAAGCTAAAGAAAGACATGTTCATGAGAAGGGCGGGAAAACTGGCTCCCACTGGACAGAGACATTCTTCAATGATCCTGGTGACGACGCACAGAAAGCAAAGCATCAATGCCACTCACTACTCACTGGCAAGAAGAGAGGTTTTGTCCCTAACCTCTTGTAACCTACTTGTGGTCCTAATCTAGATTCAACTTTCAGTTATTTTTTTAAAAAGTCCTTTAAGCAGGCTTTTTTTTTTCCTTTCAATTAAAGAAGTATTAAAGTAGATTCTTCGTCCAACTATGAGAGGTCTATGTTTCGATTTATAAAAATAGCAATCAACGGGCACTTTTCCCCAAGACCATTCAATATCTACCAAAATTAAGTAGAATTATAACAGTAAAAGTTACGAGTTTTCAGCTGCACACATTAAGAAGTCAACAGATTTCATATAGTCCCTCTTCTTTAAAGAACTCAGAATTTTTGTGAATCTTGCTGGAAACGATTTAGTTTCTCTGGATTATTGGATGCCATTTGTGAAAAATCACGGAAAATGTCCTGATAAGTTTCATCACCTGAATGGAAGGAAAATAAGGACACTTTTAAAATTTATACCAGTAAAGCATTAATAAAACAACATTCATTTTTATTACTATCAACTATTCTCTATATCATTACATTATTTTGTTCAGATAAGTCTTTTTGGAAGAAAAAAAGTCAACTAAATATAAATGCCAGAAAAGTATATAATGAAAGAAAAAAAAAAAAACTATACCTGAAAAAAGCACCTCAGATGCAGCCACAGAGGAAAGTTCAAAGTTAGAAAAGAGCAAGGATGCAGATATTTTAAAGCAAGGTAAGAAATACATTTATTAGCACATGAGAAATTTAAGTCATTCTAAATGAGGCATAGTAAACAAGACATTGCTTAAGTATCTCCTTCGCTATAGGCCAAAAGCAGTTACCAAAACCAACATTCGTGTTCTTGATAGATGCAAGTTATTCACAAGACAAAGTGAAAAATCAGAAAAGAACACCTTTATCAGATTATCTCTAATTAAAAGAAATGTGAATTAAAATAGCATGTGAAATGTAATTTCTTACTCAAATGTTAATGCTTAAAACTAATACATCTAACGCACTGCCTACTACACTTACAAAATTTTAAAAGCCTAGAAAATGACTATGAAAACATAGTCTTACATCATCAGAAAGTGTTTTGCTTACCGTAGGTCATATGAGCAAAAATGCTATAACAAAATGGGAGTTAATACCAAAGCCACATTAAATTACATAAATGTGTGCATGCGTGCGTGTGTGTGTGTGTAACATTCTTGTAGAGATGTAGATTACAAACATTAACATTATAGCAGATTAAATACTATTTTTCTTACTATGGGAATTTACATACACACATACAAATTAATCCCTTAGTCAAGGAAATCTTATTTTCAAAATGAATAATCATATTTCATTCCTGCTAAACATTAGCTTTGTAGATTTTAAGAAATCAACCCAATAGGCCAGAACAGTGGTGCATGCCTATAATCCGAGCACTCAGGATGCTGAGACAGGAGGATCGAGTTTGAGGCCAGCCTGGACTATGCACTGAGTTCAAGGCCAGTCCAAACTATATATTGAAGCCCTGTCTCAAAAATAAATAAATAAATAAATAAATAGATAAACAAACAAACAAATGATTATACAGACACTTGGCATAATTCTGTCTTAAAGATTTTTCAGCATAAAATACTACTTTAGATAACTATTGTCACTTACTTCCCAAAAGATACCTTGCATCCACCCTCCATTCTATGACAAACTCATTGCTACAGGTGTTGTTATGCAATAGGTTTCGTCAATTTTAAAGAGTAAGACTTTTTAGGCAATAGATGTCACACAGAAAGGTAGAGAATTAGAAAAATGTAAGGGAAGAGCAATAAAGATCTAGTAAAAAGGTCTAACAACATAACCCAAGATTTTTAATAAAAAGATTTTAATACATTTAATATTTAGTTTCCTTTAATATTTACTCTTTGTAAAAATCAATTTATTAAAATCGTATAGTTTTCATTTAGCCCTAGAAACTCAATTATGACCTGAAACAATCAGTTAAGCTTAATCTACTTTAAACAGGAAAAAAATTAAGATTTACTAAAACAAAGCAAAAAGTTAATATACTGGAACAACTGGTAAGACCATACAAGTACACTCATGATGTTTTAAAACTTCATTTCTACACTGAAAGACAAACTACAATCTATTCCCATTTTAGTCACTCTAAAAGATACAAAATAACTTAAGAGAACAACAATAAATAGCAATTCACAAACCATACAAAATATTTTAAATTTTTTTCTTATTTTTATGTTGAATTAAAATATGTAAAATATTTATTGTAAACATTATAAATATTTTTAAAATACTGTTTAAACTAGATAGTCTAGAATTTTACTCCCAAGAAAGTGTAAAGTGCAGATTATAATACAAAAATACCACACTGATTTTACCATTCAACACCAGAAGTAACTTAAAAGGCACACATTATACATTCAAGAAGAAATAGGAAGAAGGATCTAGCAGATGCTAATGTCAAATAGTTTACAGATAGCACCAGATGGGCATTCTTAAGTATCACAACAGTACAATGGCAGTTTATGGCTTCTACAATTAGCAATGCATATTTGTATAACAAGCTGTATTTTTCTATTTTTGTGTTTAAATCATCTAGTACCTATTACACAAGCATGTTTTAATAGGACCATTGTACCATGCAAAACAAATTAGAAGACCTCTCATTCACTGAATTAAAGGCTTCCTCGAAGGAAAGTGTTGGTGCTGTCATAATCATTGGTTTCATTGAATACATTTTAAGAGTCAACACAGTACAAGAGAGGTTTCCATCTTCAAACACACAAAAACTTTCTAACATTGAGTTTCTAACAAAACATTAATCAATACACTGTTATCATATTACTTTTCTTAGACCTCAAAATGTGTTGTCAAAAAGCAAATATTACAATAGTGACTAAGATATTTAATATATCAAATTGAATTTCAGTGTGATTATTCAAAATTTAAATATAATTTTAACCATTTTGAATTTTTCACTAGACAAATATAATTTGTCTACACTAGAACACATAAACAAAACCAGAATATGCTATCCTAGAATATTCCCCAAAGTACATTTAACAGTTTATTACAAGTGATAAAAAAACCAATCCCCCAATATCTATAACGCTAAGCTAAGCATATTATTTAAATTACTTAACCACATTTTTTGTTTGTTCGGTTCAGAAAGTAAGCTTTTCTATATGTCTGGACAGTTCTTAAGTTTCAAAACATAAATTGCTTTGTTTCCATTCATAATTTAAATTCAACTTCAAGTTTTGGTATTCAGAATATCCATTATGACAGCAGTTATGATTCAATAGTCTACTGACTTTGCTCTTGAAAGGAACTCTCTCAAACTGATGAGAGCATGTGAATCCCACCCCAAAGTGATCGTGTGCATGATCCTGCCCTTCTAGGTTTTGGCAGTTTCCTTCCACTACTGATGAGATCAGCGACCCCAACCTTTGCCCACCACTCACTCATATAACCAGAAGTAACTAGTGGCCAGGCCAGCCATTCTCACTGGGCTAAGAACTTGCCAGCCACCAAGATGAGTCACAGAGCCAGAAACGGGGAACCACAAACTCATTTCCAATAGCAGAGAGTAAAGAGTGCTCTTTCCCTCGCCCACTCAGGTCTCCAAGAGTTCTGGGAGCTGCCCAGGAGAAACACATTCTCCCTTCAGAACCGTCCTCAAGCTGCCTTTGGAAAATGGGAAGTCCCAGGTTCTTGGGGTTGTAAACTGAAGGTTCAGAAATGGGGTTTACTACAAATAGGTTCATGATTGCCAAACATTATGTCTGAATTTTAAATGGCAGAGCTCCTCATTATCAAAAAACTGCAAATTCCTGTACCTATAAACTACCCAGAGTTCTGAGACTATTAATTACTAAGACCATTTAAAAAGGGGTGGGGGTTCCCAATAAAACAATCAACCACAGTCTCTGAAAGAAAAATTTAGTGATACAGTAAGCAGAGGAAAAACAAAGAGCTACTGCCAAACACATCTGCTCTCTAAAGACTCAAGAAGGAAGAGCAGAAAGCACTTGCTGTGCCATTCATCGTGTCATCTGTCTCCACATACAATTATTTCAAATATTAGGATCTATAAATGACAAAAATAATTGTTTTCAAAATGATCGTAAAATATTTTTTAAATCTCATTTATTCTGATATATTCTTTCCAGAATCCTCAATTTTTAACCTCTAAACTAAAATTTGAGAATGAGAAAAGTCTGTTTTAAAATGAGATGTTTTTTCAAATTTCCATTAAAATAAATTTGAAAACTCAGCATTTCTGTGGATTAATGGAAGTTCATATACCTGTATATAAACTGGCACATAAGTAACAGTGGAAGAAATATCTGAGGATACTGAACAACAGCAGAAGAAAGCCAAGCAATTTGGGTAGAACTAGAAGTGGCAAGAACATCAAGGTTCTGTCCTTTCCAGCTTCCAACTCCAGAGAACAGTCATCCACTGACCTTTTGACTAATGTGGGTGAACTTCATTAGCAAACACCTTAAGGAAAGAGCATCTGACCAAACATTCAAAAGTTTAGGGAGAAAACTGTTTAACTTAAACTCTTGAAGTTTGCTGTTCCCACAAATGTCAGGTCACATCCTTTGATCGATTTTTATTTTTAAAGTGCTTAAACATAAAGGCCTCAAAAATGGCCTAGTAATACTATCATGTAAGTACATCTATTACAAAATTATAACTTGTTTGAAATCTAACATTCAAGTTTAAAACAAATGGGTGAAATCCAGAGAAACACTAGAGCTTCACCCAGCATCAGCACTTTGACATCGTGGAATATCATGAGTCAGTGGTACATATGATCCATAGGATTAAAGTGGGACACCCTAGATTAGAAGCATCTAGCTCAAGTGCCTCTATTCTCAAAGTCCTTACTTGTTCCCTATTAGGGCAAAAATTAGTAAACACAGTCCTCTGAGAAAAAACAAATGCCCCATATTGATAATAGGTTGAAACTACCATAAAGTACAGAAATTTTACAACATATTTAAGTAAAAAGAAGAGATGATATTACCAGGCCACCTTAAAAATGTTATCAATACTCATTTTTTAAAAAATCAAATATACTCTTTGCAAACTGAACATTCGAAAGTATTTAAGAATACCTGAAATTTTTACTAATATGTATACAAGTTTAAAACAGATTTGTAATTCATATGCCCAAAATCACGAAACTAGAGATCCCATCGTTACTCTCTTCTCTGTGAAGAACATCTAATCAGCATGTGTTCATCAAAGAGGAACCTGATCAGCAACGCTTCTTTTCTCGACAGCTTGACTCAAAGGTAAAATGAGTCATAATGAAGCTTGAGGTGGTCGTGAGTTGAGATTCTCTAATGAGAGTAAGTGTGCCTTGCCATCAGTCACAAAACTGTCCTAAATACTTGCACTTATCAAAACAAAAGATATTACACAAACGCTTGAGGCAAAGCTAAAGCTAAAACAAGACCTTTTTCCTTCATTCTTTTAACTTAACTCTACTCCCATTATGAACTTTTAAGACTACTGGTAAATTTATAATTTAGTTCTTCAGATCATTTTTAGATTGAAATACAAAACTCATTAATAAGCTTTTGCTTAATATTTTTCATACTGACTTTTTATATGCCACACAGATAATGGGGTTTTTTGTTTGTTTGTTTAGGTTTTTTTTTCCCTGAACAGAGTTATAGAAATTCCCTGAATAATAAAAAGAAAATAATTTTGTTATTTTCATTTAATAACTAAAAAGAATTCCAAAAAGAAAACAACTATTTAGCTGCTGTAAGTATATAAAGAATACTTTCATCATCCCACTCACTTCAGTGGGATGTATATGGAAGACATCTGCACGGGAGATAAGGAAGTCAGCAGCCGGAGATAAACGTAGCAAGTAAGTGTGTGTGGGAATAGGGACAGTTCAGGATTTTTAAAGGCCCAGGATTAGCCACCCAAGAATTCAGAAAGTACAGTACATAGCTAACAAGTCACAATTTTACAAGTAGGTTATAAAAACTCTATAGACTCATGTTAGTTGGCTAAATAACTATGAGTCTTCCAATTGTAAACTGATGAATTCCTGAATACATTTCTTATACTGCATTTCAGTATGATTATTAGTGGAATATTGACCTGGCTGTCCATAAAGTCCTTCTGATTCCCGCATTTCTTCATTCATTCTTGCTAAACGTAACCTAAAAGTTAAATAAAAAGACTTTCAGATGAAGTTAACATGTTCATAAATAATTATATAAACATTAGATAATATAAGTACTAATGTAATTTTTTCCTTTCATCAGTATTTGCCACTAAAATAAGCTGGATTTGGGTTTACCAGACCTAGAAATCTAGACTATAAAAATAAGGAACATACCTCACATCTGAAGCATATAAAAAGTCGGTATGAAAAATATTAAGCAAATGTTTACTAAGATATGTTCCTACATTCAAACTGGCTGGGAAGCTGCATCCAGAGTTAGTTTCTCTACACCAGTCTACTAATCCAATTTGTAAAAAATAATTATTTCCCTCCTACTGTAAATCCATAATGATGTAGCAGTTCTGGATTTTCCTACAGTAGCTTGTACAATGACTATAAATCACTCACTGAGAAGTATGCTTTGCTATGTTTACTTCAGCAGGGCTCAGCAGGGTTGGTACACAGCATGTCAAGAATCTTCAGTGAGCCAGGACACAGCTCAGTGGCACAGCACCTGCCTAGCAAGGTCCAAAGTCTGACTCCCAGTATGGGAGAGGGGAGGGAAAATCTTCAGTGAGCACTCAAGTATTCAAGGTGATCATAGAAATTTCCCCTTGTGATTGAGACTAATGTGAATCACGTAGCTTCTCTACTCAAACAGAGAGTAGTTCATTAATGTAGGGTTTCACATAACCAAGGAGGGGATGAGGAAGTGACTCTGTATAAAATATTCTTCAGCTAGCTATGAAACACGGGTAAACATCACATTTCGAGATGCCAAGTATAAAACTACTTTGTTCAAGTCTGCAAATCAAGAGTCTTCTTCATAGCTATTGTTTGCTGAGGAAGGTTGTTGCAATTTTGAGATCAGCCTAAACAGCTTAGCAACACCCTGTCTCAAAATGAAAAACAAAAAGTGTTAGGGTTTTAGCTCAGTCATAGAGTACTTGTCCAGCATGGACAGAATCCTGAGTTTAATTACTGGTACCATCACAGTAAACAAATAAATCTCTCTTAGTAGCACAAATTAGCTTCCATTCAAACATTCAAAACCATGTATTTTATCTTACACTAATCAAGAGTTCATGTGAAAATTCTGTTCTAGAAAACCAGATTCCTATCACTTTTCAAAGCAGATGCAACTTCACAGAAGTTACAAATGACATCAACGCCGCTGTTACCCCTACTTATGATCTTCTAATTCCTGAGGCAGCACATTAACTGCCTGGTACTCTACCAATTCTCAACCCCAACCCCAGTACTCTGAGTATAGTATTATACTTTAGAGAAGTCACTGTTAGGCAATATAGCAGAAATAGCTAAGGACATGGGCCTTGGGGTCAAAATTCTTCATTCCAAGTCCCAACACTACCACTTACTGATTTCTCAAACTTTCTGTGATTTGGCTTCCTTATCTATACAATGAGATAGTAAGAAATATCTTCCTCACAGGGCTGTGGCAAGAACCGAGACCAGGCACATGAAGTGCTTACCACGTTGAATGGACTTAGGGAAGTACAAGGCACACAGTAAATAGCAACCAAGTTGAAAGTTCACACCTGAGCAAGAAGTCCAATTAACGCCCCTCACAGATAACATATTACAACTTGAGAATAGCAAGGTAGAAAGCAAGTACTTACAAGGTTACGATGTCAGCATTGGCTGCTTCCACAGCTATGCTCAAAGGGTCCTTCCCTTCTTCATCAGTGGCATGTTGATTGGCACCTCGCTTTAGGAATAAACATACCTGCCTGTTTAAGGAAACATTTTTGAAATATTTCCAACAAGAAAAAAATTAATATTTGCCTTACAGAAATTAAAAGTCCTTTTATTTTCTTTAAAATTTAATTCATTCTGAAAAATGAACAATGATTCAAATGCTAAAAACTTACAAAGATCAATATTTTATATGAGTTCAATCCCCGGTACTGCAAAAAAAATAAAATAAAATTATATATATATATATATATATATATATATATGTGCAAAGTAGTTTCACTTGCAGTATTTTATATAATCTGGGGCTATACAGCCTAGTGAGATATATAAATGACCGTCCCTACACTGAAAAATATTATAAAATGATATACCTAGATATTAGAAAAATTAAAAGATCACTGAAGGTCATAACAAAACAGGAATGATTATGACAGTTTAAGAAGAAAATAAAAAGAATGAATTTTTACCATTTTTAAGTACAGAAAAGTTTCTATAAAGTCACTGAAATGAATCTCTTTGTTGATAGACAGGTTATAATAATAATATAAAAAGAGATGTTAAGACAGGCAGGGTGGCACACGCTTGTAATCCCAGCAATCTGGGAGACTGAAGAGGATTACAATTCAAGCCCAGCCTAGGCATTTTTGTGACTTAAGAGAGACCTATCTCAGAAAAAATAATAAAAATAAAATAAATAGAAAGGGCAGAAGATGAATCACAATGTGAAGGCCCTGGGTTTAATCTTTAATACAATAAAAAAGAAAGAAAAAAATCGTTATTTAAAGGAAAAAGAAACAAGGGAGGGAGGAAAAAAAATTCTTTCTTGCTTATCCAGAAAATACTAATTTTTATTTTTATTTTTATTTTTTGGCGGAACCAGGGATTGAACTCAGGCCCTTGCACTTGCCAGGGAAGAGCTTATTCTACTGAGCCATCTCTCAGGCCAAAATAATAATTTAAAACCCTAGTATGTTTCATTTTAAAACAATTATGTGCTGTCGAGGCAGGGTGACCTGCAGCTAGAGGCAGAAGGATCCCACATTCAAGACCAGCCTGCACAGCTTAGTGACAGAGCAAGGTCCCATCTCACAATAAAGAACATTAGAAGGGTTGGAGGTGAAGCTCAACTCAAAGGCCCTGCAGTCTTCTTGATATACTATACAATATACATAATTTGAAGAAGCTGGCCCAAAACATTTTAATATGAAAGAACAAGAAGAGCATATTAAGGAAGAATTACAATAGTCCAATACTTAGTACTACATCTACATTAATAAGTTTTTAAAAATAAAAACAATAATCACCTATGACAAACTTTCTGTATAATGCTAGTAGTTCTACTTCATTTATTCTTTCTAGTACAAAGTCCATTTAATAACTTTACTGTTGTATGAATCTTAATATTGCTTGAGATAGCAAAATGTCAACAGCCTAAAGTAAGCATTTAGTTTGTCAATTTTTAGTTAATTTGACCAGCTACACTAAAAATTGAAGTGTTACTGGGAATCCAACTCGGGACCTTGCACTTGCCAGGCAGACACCTATGTCGCTGAGCTGTCTACCTGGCCCTAAAAATTTAAATTTTAAACACACTTAGTTGTTGGATGAAATCACAATTTCAGTAAAAGAAAAAGTACCAAAACTGAAATATTTAATAAGTTAGGGCCAAAGTAAGCTCTAAAATCTTTATATCTATAATTCATTCGCTTTTCTAAATTAGTTTTTAACTTTCAAATTCTGTCACAACATTGTAAATCATAGGGACACCTCTCTGTACACTATCTCCTGACCTCAACCTGAAAAGGCAAAACATTATTTGAAAATGATTTTTCAAATACAATACATCTAAACATCTAAACTTCACATTACCCTGTGTGTCCCAAGACGGTGGCATGGTGCAGCGGTCCCCGCCCTTGGACATCTCTTTGGTTCACATTAGCACCATTCTGTAGGAGGAACTCACATGTCACCAATGAGCCCTTACAGGGAAAAAGAGAGCAACAAGGTATAAGTACAAACAAGACACAGTAGTATATTTATATTTAAAAGCAATATTTTTTATTTACTCAAATAGTATTTCCATTTCATTTCCCTCTAAAAATAACACTTGAAAAAGTAGGAAATTCTTGTATTAGTTTCTTCCCAAGAACCACTCCTAGTAAGAATACATTCTCAGCTTATGACCTCACAAAAAACACTATGACTTTCATTATCAGAATTTTCTTCCATTGCCAAGAACAAAACAAACAAGAAGCTAGAATAATCAAAATGACACTCAAAAATAAATTACTGTGAGGTGCACAGAAGCATCATAATTTTCCAGCCCATCTCTTCAAGCAAAAACCCAGTAATACTGAAGCTGTATTCAGAATTTATTATAACTTAGATTTTACTACCAGTGAAAACCTTAATGTAGTCATTCGTACCCCTACTACAGCCTGAATAAGTGGCGTTGCTTTGTTTTCCTCTGAATTAGCCCAGTTCACATCTGCACCATGAGCCAAAGCCTCAGCCATTTTCGGAAGATTTTTCTCATATGAAGCTCTATAAAGCTGAAGTCCTGGATTAAGATGTTTAGAGTCAAGAAATACAGAAGAATCTTGTCTTTCTCCTTCTGCATAACAAACACAAACACATTAACAAAAACAAGTTCTTAGGAAGAGATAAATTATTTAATAGTTTCAGTTTTGCAAGACGAAAAGAATTCTGTGTCTTAATAGTGGCATAGCAAAATGACTGAAGCCTTAACGCCATTGAATTGTACATTTAAAAATGATTACAATGGTAAATTTTGGGTTATGTACATTTTATTACAAGTTTTTAAAAACAAACTCAAACTTATCACAATGTAAAAGTTGTCCCAGAAGTCCACAAAAGGTGGAAAAAAATGGACTTGTCTGAATTTAGAGTTTTCTCTAGCCTAGCTTCCTTCTAAGATATTCTGGAAGTACCACCAGCAACAATAAAATTAATCCTCTTGTGTTGGGTTAGTTTTGGTCTTTCAGAACTCATCCTTTTATCAATAGTTACTACTTACAAGGGACATCCAAGCAGGGTTTCATTAATCATGATTACAAAAACAATGTACCCTGGATTTTGAAGATCCTGCTTGTGTTCCTGTTATGTTCACACTCAAAATGGTAGAACAGAATATTAAGTGGAATAAATGAGACACTCAGGCTTAAATATTGCAAGGTTCTTCTTATAAGAAAAATCTACATTGCTAATAAAAAGCAAAATAAAAACATAATAGAAGATAGGGAGATAGATCTTTTTCAGATGATAAAGGGATCAACAGATGGAGGAAGGGGGGATGAAAAAAGGCATTAAGATGTGTTGTGTGCATGTACCAACTCCACACAAGAAATGTAAAAATTATGTACTGCAGACATGTACTAATAAAAATATAATAGTAGAAAAAGAAAGTTGTGTGGCCAGGGAGATAGCTCAGTGGAATAAGTGCTTGCCCAACAAGCACAAGGTCCTGAGTTTGATCTCTGGTATCCTGGTATCACCAAAAAAAAGGAAAGAAAGTTATGATAAAAACTATTAATCTATCATAGTAAGCTTATGTGAGATTGTCACACAAATATCTTATTTCCCATAATCACTCCCTAAATACTCAACCTCCTCTTACAAAGACACCAACAGGTATGCTACATCATTTGTGGTCTTGCCTGTGCTTAATGGCTAGGACAATTACTCCATTCAAACTGGCTACATGCCTAGCAGGATGGACTAAACAGACAGCCCAATTCTTCCTAGAAGAATTTTATTACTAGATCAAACCTCTCTTCATTACAAGAATGACCCAATACCACTACAGTCTGGCCTATAGCTAGTTCAAATAATTTGAAGAATGTTTACTCCCCTGAGAATTCTGAAAGACCAAAATCACTGAAATGACAGAAGAGAATATAAAACTAAAGCACTAGAAAGAATACAAACCTAACAGGGAGTTGCTGACTTCTCACCTATCAGCCACAAAGAAAAACACAGAGTGGTAAAGTACATGTGGATTTACAATTATCCTGAGCTATGGCAAGACACTTAGAATACAATGAATCTTAGAAAAACATGCAACTAAGAATATCTAAGTTTGAACAGAAATAGTGCTTTCTTCAACAGTATTACTTTTACCTTAATACCTTTTAAAAGACTAGCCACTTCCTTCAGAAATTATTTAAATCAAGACCAGGTATTCACCATATATATTGTTTAGCAAACTGTATCAATTACAGAGAATTTCATCAACTCACCAGGCTCATATAAACTGCTGGCTGACACCGTAGATGGTAAAGATTCTCTTCCATCATCAGAGCTTTGCTGTATCCCACTGTCATTACTTTTGACTATTTAAAAGAAAAATTTGCTAGTGATTAAAGTTCACACTACTTAGAACACAATCTTGAACAATCAACGAAGTCTTAAAATGAACTATTACATGTCAACATGAACTCAGCCACCAGCAGCAGACTATACTTAATATAATTTTAGTCCTTCTGAATACTTAGCTTATTGTGATATAAATCAATCAGAAAGCCTGAAAATAGTCTTATTTTCAGAGCTGTAACACACCTCACTACCCCATACAATGTCAGGGGTAGTAAAAGCTTAATTTATTATATGACTGTAAATAATGTGTAATTCTGAGACAATGGGTAACATCTAAAGAAATGGCCACACTGCACAATGACCACTGGCACAGACTTGGAATGCTCCACAAGAGTAGTACTTACTACTACGTAGTTTTGAAGAAGTATCAAAGTAGGAGAAGAGTGAATCTAGCTCATCAGGACAGAACAGAGACTCCCGCCTGGGATCGTCGCTATTTACAGCAACCACTGGGGTCATGCAAGTTAGCAAAGCACAAAGCAGGCCATAAGAAGGGAAAAGGGCAGGAAAATACGTTACTGGGAAAAATTTAGGAGGAAAAGATAGAAAGGAAATCAGGTAGTTAATCAGATACTTAGGGTTTTGGCCATGATAGATTAATAATCCCCATCTCCCCTTCTATTTGAAGCAGCTTTATGTGAATTACCATGGTAGTATTTAGATGAAACTGTTTTAAAGACAAATCCAGTTTCTCCTTACAATACATTGAAGGAATAAGGTCTGTAGCGTTTAAAAAAATCCACAATGGCTATTAATTCAAAGATTTGGCAAATGACTAGTTCAAGAAAATCTTTACATTCAAAACAGGAAAGGTATAATACCTGAACTCTGGATAGATGCTCTAATCGGGTCACCTGGCCCAAGTTTAGAAATGCTCAGCCTCTTTTCTTCGCAGCCTCTAGAGACAATCTTTTTTTCCTGCTCAGGAGGTGATGATGACATAGAATGCTTATCCACAAATTTTCTTTCCACATATTTTGCTTTGATATATGCCTCCTTCTCCTGTCTGGTACACATAAAAATGTCACAATTCTCTGATTAATTCTTGACATGGCTAATACTTAAAAGATGCCATTATACATTGAATTTTTTAAGCTAAGTCATTGGATGTAACACACTAAGATAGAACCTGTGGCATTATACAGTATTTTTCTTCCAAATATTTTTCACAGTTAAATGAAATATAAATAACAACCTAATTGAAAATTACAAGTTTTAAAGTGGGGTTTTTATTCTCTTAGTTTCTGTGTTCATTCATTTCTATATATATTCCCTCAAGCTTTTACAGAATGAAACATATTACCAGGAAAACAATATATAAAAATGAATTTTAATTTCATTTATACTCAAAGAAATAGTGTCACATACAACTGACACACAATTTTTCATCAGATAATTACCTTAAAATATAGCATTCCAATTTATAAGGGAAAAAAAGATATCACATTTAAACTTTTATGACACAATCATCAACCAAGTCTGCTTTACAGTTTTTCTTATGTACAGCCTTTTAAACTGCTTAGGTCTTCAACTGAAACAGAAGAGTACTTCCAGGCCTTAAATATCTCAATCATGCTTTAGGAAATACAAGATTCTGGTTTAAATAATACTGGCTTAGAAAAAAATTTAACATAGGATTATGGCAAATGAAATTTTAATGTTAAAATAAAGAATCATAACAACTGAAAACACCACTGACTACAACGCACTGGCTCCCGGCCACTTCAGTCAATGAGCCGCCACACATAACAGGAATGGCAAGTGTCAGACACAGCAATGAAGCCCTCTCCTCTACTACAGCAACCTCTCTCCTTACTTCCTCAGTATCATGAGGCATGCAAAAAGTGTGTGGTCAACAAATACTTACTGAACTAAGTCAAACAATGCAAAATCATTCACTACAAACAGTAGAAACTTGATCCTTAGAGAACTTCAGGGACTGGCTGTACCTTCTGAGTGCCTGCCACCAATAGAAGCTTGAACTACTTTAATGGGTAGGAACATTCACATTTCTAGGTAGAGATTTAATTTTTAAGATTCCTTCTCATCTGAAAACCATGATATGCTCAAAATATAATTAATTAATATAAACAAGACAGAGAAAGCCACAGGTGAACAGAAGCAGAAATAATTACTTCTAAATACTGTCTCAATGCCATATGTCATTATGGTGAAACAAAAGCACTGCTATATCCTTGATTAGAAAAGAGATAGCACAGCAGGACTACTAAAATATTACCTTTGTCCTGGTTGTGGTTTCTTTATTCCCATTTTTTCTACTTTAGCTTCGTAAACACGATTTATAACATCATTCCCCAATTCACACATAAGCTGTTTGGCAGGAAAATATAAAAGTGAGCTATCAATTAAATGTGCTTTAGAGAAACTAAAATATAAAAGTTCTTAAACCAACCTCTCAGTCTAAAAATAAGTTTCAAGTTAAAATAAGACAAGGAATGACAGTAATATTATCACTTTGCCATTCTTCATCAGAATACTATCCGTAGAACCTTACAACTCCTATTCCAGATTCTGGGTACAAAATACAATAAAAATCATCTCTGTCCACAATATTTATATCTACATGCACATGTTTGAACAAGATACATGGCAATAAATCATAACTTTATACTTAGGTATAGTTACCACGGGCCTGGCGTAGGAAAATAAGTTAAATATCTATTCTTTTCACTTTTCTCCTCAATTCCACCTCCTAGAACTGTTCTGTCAATGTACGATTTTATGGAAATGATTTTGGGCCTTTTTCCCTCTCCCTTAGTTCTCCCTTCCAATGATAATCAAATCATTGGTATATGTTCTAAAATCCTGTAAGTTTTCCTTTCTATATAATCTCATGGTGAACCATATGCTTCCTGTTGCAACCCAGGCGATGGCCTGACTCCTACACCAAACATGCTGCCTATGCCGAAATTCAGACTACGCAGACCGTTTCCCAGGACATTTTACCTGGGTAAAAAGGCCAGTTTTAAATGGTCTGGCCAGTGAACACAGGCAAGACCGGAAATGATGCAGCATAATGGCTGGTGTCTTGTAAGAATGTATACTTGATTTTTAAAATTAATCTATTTTATACAATATAAACTAAGCAGCAATAATTAAAAGGAATATACTTTAAAAGATTAATTGCTAGGAGTTTTTGTAAATTTTATGAAACATCTGATAGGGGCCAGGGAGATAGCTCAATAGAATAAACGGCTGCCTGACAAGCACAAGGGCATGAGTTCAATCCCCGGATCCGCAAAATAAAAAAAAAGAAACACCTGCTAGTGTTCTAAAATTACTTGTATTTTTATACATATGAATTCTTAAGCCTGGAAAAATGATGGCAAATATAAATAATCCATTATAGAGTTTACTTTAGCAATAAGTTCATTATATTTTAATAATAATCTAATTATAAAAGATTATGCCACAGAATCTAAAATCATTCCTGAAAAACCACAAAAATAGAGAAACTGGTTTTCCTGAAAAGTAAACTGACTTAAAGAGTGTTACATAAACTTAGTGATTTTTACAATCTACCATGAAAACAACAATTTGCTAAGATAGTCTCAGATGTGCTCTAATACCCCAAATAGCTGAAAAACAGTCTTGAAAACTAGAGATCAAAAGGGCTGGCCAAATAGTTCAGTGGATTAAAGCATCTGCAAGCAAGCACAGGGGCCAGGGGTTCAATCCCCGGACCTGCCATGCTGGTCCCACCCATGGGGCACACTGAGACATCAATTGAGACTGGGCGTGGTAGTGTGTGCCTGTAATCCCAGCTCTGGGGAGGCTGTAAACAGGCAGATCACTACGAGTCCAATCTGGTAGTAAGCCCCTAAACATGCTATAGACCCTTCCCTAAAATACAAAAAAAAACCCAAAAACCTAGAGATCAAAAATGCCAGCCCTGGACAGCTTATCTTGGCCTTACCTGCCTGCCATCACTGTTCTCTTGCTGAGTAGCTACGTGATAAGGCACAGGCTGACTGGGACTGGTACTTTTGATCTTTTCAAAGCTGCTTATTTTCCAGTTAAGTCTTATTTCAGGAAAATACAGTGCATTGCTAACATGAACGTTATGGCTTAGACCTAGAACACCCCTCCAATGTCTCTTCAGGGTGGGGGTTTGGAGGGTGATCAGTAGACTTATCCACTGAAGAGCTATGTTGCATGCCTTTAGAGTACACCTTCCTCTGCAGCTTCTCTCCTCAGCTCCGTTTCCTAGCTGCCATGAGCTCAGCTGCTTTCTTCTGCCAGGTTCTTCCATCGTTCTGTTTCTGCTTGGAGCCAGTCGACTACGGACTAAACTGTGAGCCAAAATAAACCTCTTCTCCTTTAAACTGAGAGTGTCTCAGCAATGAAAAACCTAACACAAAGGGTGACTCATAAATTTGTAAACTGTCTTAGTCACTTTCTTGAGGCTGAGACACAATACCTTACAGCCTCCATGGAAAGGAGGAGAGGCTGATTTTGGCTCACAGTTTCAGAAGTGTCAGTCCACGGCTGCTAACAGGGCTGGCCATAGTGGGCAGCTGCCCAGGTCACAGCTGCTGCTCATGTCAGAGCTGCTAGGAAACAGACATTATGGGAGGAGGCAGCAGAGGAAAGTGACAACCCTCCAGGGCACAACCTAGAGCAGGCCCCACCTCTTCGGAGCAGGTCACCTAGGAACTCATGGAGGCATTAATCCTCTGCCAAGTACACCTCCCTGATGCAGTCATCTTTCAAACACTTGAGACTTTGGGTGATCCAAATCATAACACCAACTCTAAAATCTTCACTTTTATGTGAAAACATAAAGTATGTTCATACAAGTATTTATTTTACCTTTAAAAGTTCAGGCTCCCAGGTGTCTAAAGTTAAAGATCGTACTTTTGAAAAATGAACCCCAAGACTCCTGTATGGGGGGAGAAAAAGGACATTATTTATTAATGTAAAACTATTGGGTTTTTATTCTATTTGTATATTTATGCAATTATTTTTCTCTTTAAAGTGATGTAGGTTCCAATATAGCCCTCCACATATGTAAAAAGGGATAGATCTGATTAACATGGATGGCAAATGAAAGTCCTTGCAAGCACTTTATCAAACTTTTACCCCCCTTATGAAAAGATACAAACGTATTTACATTGGATAAATGAGCTTCTCTAACAAATGAAACATAAGCATTCACAGTACATGCTCATCTGAAAGCAGCCTCTCCTCCCGGGCAGGCCTGCCTACCGGTGAATCCCAGAGCACTCGATGCACAGGGTGATGCCCAAGTTGATGCTGGCCCACCGGGGATCAGCCTGGCCACAGTCACAGCAGCTGGCATTGCCAGGGATGCACTGGACGCGCTGCAGAGCACTTTCTCCCTTCAATAACTTCTCTTTTGACTCACTTCCAGAATCTAGGCTTCCTGTTGATGGAGATGATTTCTTATCCAGCTTCTATAAGAATTAAGATTTAGTTTTATTTATTAAAAAAGAAGACTGCAATATTATGCTACATACTGCATGTGCCAGACAAAAGCTTCCAATTAACTAGCTATAATGAATGTAGTAAGTCAGGCACTATTCTAAGCGCTAGAGATTAAAAAAATAAGACATAGAAGTCTATCAGTCTGCAGCGTGCCATGCTGGCCCCAGCCCAGGATGCGCTGAGATGGCAATTGAGCCTGGGCGTGGTGGTGTGCACCTGCAACCCAGCACTTGGGAGGCTGAAAACAGGAGGACCACTACGAGTCTGACCTGTGTAGTGAGACCCTGTAGACCCCGTACTAAAGGAAGATGAAGAAGAAGAAGCAGTGGTAGTGGTAGTGGTAGTAGCAGAAGCAGTTGTCTAGCAATCAACTTTTATTTTTTGTTGTGGTTGTTCTTGGGTTTTGTGTTTTCTTTTCTTTCTTTCTTTTTTTTGTATAAGGGATCAAACTTGGGACCTTGCCCTTGCCAGGCAGGTGCTTGTACTGCTATCTCCCTAGTCCCCTCTTTTTTTTGAGACCTGGTCTCGTCATTTAGTTCAGAATAACCTTGAACTCACTATGTAGCCCAAGTTGGCCCTGAACTCATGATGATCCTCCTGCCTCAGCCACCCGACTTGTGGGATAACAGGCATGAGCCACCACGCCCAGCTATCAGCGGCCTTTTAGCTGGGTGAGAAAAATATATAAACACATTTGAAATTCTACATTTTTATATAACTCAACAAATGTGCAGGAGAAGGAAGGCAGAAAAAAGGGAAACACTACCTTAACTGCAGGGTGAGAGGCAGACGTGAGACTATTAAGACTTGATAATGAAATATTATTTTATACCACAGTTTTTCAAAGCACCTAAATATAAGCACCTTATTTTATTTTATTTTTTTTTAATTTTTATT